TTGTGTGTTCACACTCTCTCTGAGCAGCACTTTAACTCCCAGCGCTGTAATTCTGCCAGTGTAGACATGCCTTAAGTCTGCCTTTTAGTTACTCAAGCACCAAACAGCATCTGAACCATTTAATACTTAAAAAAAAACAACAACAAAAAACCTCTTCCCTTTCCTCCACACTGAGATAGCTTCAACAGCTGAATCAATTTTGGTGAAATTTCAACAGGATCAAAAGTTTGCTTCTAAGTTGAAACCAAGCTTAAGAAGTTTTATTCCAAAGCTAATTTTTTTGAGAATACTCAAGCGACCATGATATCCTGTTGCTGAACGCTTAGACTTAAATTTCCAATCTCCTCTTTTAATTGACAAGAAACCTTGCCTCTGTAAAATATTTATATATCATCCTCGGTACACTTGGTGTTATATAGTACCTTAGCCGCCAAAGAGCTTTTCAGATCACATGTACTTCAGCCACCACTGAAGCCCAAGTCACCTCATGTTGGTGAATCTCACTCTTTTAAAATGAACTTTACTACACATCCTGTTACTTTGTCACATGCCAAAGAGTAGTTTTTTGAATTTTATGGTGCTATATCTGCCAGAGTAACAGACAGCACTGTTCCCGTATAGAAGTTCGTTCAACATGACCAAAAAGTGGAATTGTTTAATTTAACCCAGAACTCTTAGCAGCAACTCATCCACTTCAGAGTAACAGAATAGTGAGCACATGAGCAGAGAAAATCTAATACATTTACTGCAGGAAGTATTTATTCCATTTCCTTTGTTTTTCTTGTCAACCTTTCCCTTTCAGAATTCCAAGTCTGATGTCTACAAGCTTATCCTGCTTTGTGCATTAAGAATGAGACAGTTATTGCTCTGCAGATAGCAGAAGCTGAGATTTATTGCAAAACCCTATGTTCAAGTGTTTGTTTCAAGCACAATGAGATCTGAATCTACAGCCTAACTGGCAAGCCTTTAACTTTGTAGAACTTTAAGCACTTCCCTGCAGTTTTCATTTATGATTTGTTTATATACCTAACTGTTAATTTTGAATGTATACATTGCCAAACTTCATAAATATAATTACATTTAAAACAATGCAACCCAGAAGCGTGAAAGGTATTTCTAGCACTGAATCAAAACCTTTGCTAAGACCACCCCATTCAATTAAAAAAAAAAAAAAAGTAAACACACCAATCAAAGAAAGGGAGAATCCAAAGAGGATAGCCTGCTTGTATACAGCAGAAGTCACTTTCAGTAATTTATTACCAGCTGGGGCAGACACATGTACCTTTGTTTTCGGTATGATAGGATTAAGCTTTGTGGCCTTTAATTAAATTTGAATACCACAAAGCAACAAGTTAACTCTGATAAAAAAAAATCTTTAAAGTGCCAGACACACACACACAGCAACATTATGCATAGTCTATCCATCCCTCTCCTCCTTCCTCCCTCCCTTCCCCCCGCCCAAAAAGCGTATTGTGCAGTTTTCATCAGGTTTACATTTTTTTCTTTCTTTACTATGACTAATCTGTTCAGTGGATGGGAATGGGCATAAGTTGCCATGGAGATCTCCAAGTTTCAACACAAAAGTTAAGGGGCAACTGGCCCTCATTACCTTATCTCAAGGAAAATTCAGATAGGGTCATTATTAGAAGGCAAAAAGGAAAGGATGAGGAGCATGGGAGTGGGACAAAATTTCTGACAGGATGCGGCGGTTCTATTAGTTTAAAGGGGGTGGTTGTGAAGAGACGAGGAAGTAGAATCCTTGTTTGGGAAAAGGAGAAATCATGCAACTCTAGTACAGGAAGCAGGGAGGGGACGGGGAGAGCTCCTGTTCGTTTAGGACAGGCAGACAGAAGGGAAGAACTAGATTTCTTATTTTAGGAATTAAGTGTAGAGATGGGCCATGTATGCAGGAGAGACTCTACTAGTGGAGGATATTTTGGGGAAAGAGAGGAGGAATAGTGAAGCCTCTGGTCATGCAGGAACAAGAAAGAAAAAGAAGGTTTCTCCGTTGATTTAAGCACTAGGTATTAAGCACTAGGTACAGGACGGTTGTGCATGAGATGGCAAAACCAGCAGTGCATACAGATGTGTCTTTGCTAGTGCAGGTTGCAAAGGGAGAGGTAGTGATCATCCGGCACAGGGACCCCCATACAATGTAGACAGAAGGGAATGATTGAGGAGTGGATACGTATAAAGTTACGATTCTTTTATGTTTTTACAGTGCGGGTCACTGAAATTTTAGAAGCCACACAAACTATTAAAAGGAGTTAACAAGCTTGGTCTGAAATTAGCCCTGCTCTTTTCATCCTTGAATTCCAAGCACTCACATCTCCCTTCCCTCTTCCTCTCCCAAACCCATCTTTGCTCCTCAGTTTGCTATTGCGGGAAGCCTTGCATGCAAAGCTGTTTTTTTCCCACCCGGGTTTGGAAATGCATACATGTAGCCGTGCCCCTAGTAGTGCAGATGGCAAGGAGGAAAGGGGAGTACGCGAGACCGTGCTCCTGTAGGACGGGGGCACCGCAATGCAATGCAGAGAAGTGAAGTGTGTGGAGGAGGAAGGCATGCACGTGTACCCACTGTTCCTGAGTGGAAGAAGGGGGGGGGAGACGGGTACCGGTCCCTCCAGGGCAGCCCTTCCGCGCCTCTGCGGGAGGGGGAATGGCCTAGGGCGGGGACAGGCGGAGCAAAGCGCAGTCCCCCGCGGGGGAGGGTCTCGGTGACTTACCCAGGTGCAGGGTGAGGTTGATGGCGCTGGGGTACTGCACCCCGGCCAGCATGGTCTGGCTCTGCCACCAGGTGGTGTCGGCCTGGTTGTAGTCGGTGAGGAAGGCGGCGCCGTGCTGCAGGTGGGGCTGGGCGGCATCGCACAGGTGGCAGGACTTGGTGACCCCGGTCACGCCGGTCTGCACGCAGTACTCCTCGGCCGGCGAGCCGCACGTGTTGGTGGCCACCACGGTCACGTTGAAGGCGGCGTTCACGAATTCGGGCATGCAGCGCTGCGGCCGCCCGCTCGCCTCGTCCACGCATTCGTCCATGGCGGCGGCGCAGCGCCCGGCCAGCTCCAGCAGCAACAGCAAAGGCAGCACCCCGCGACCCATCCTCGGCCGACACCAGCGACGCCTTGCGCAGCGCGAGATGGAGCAGCAGCCGCCTCCCAAGCGGCTCGCGCCGTGAGCGGACGGGGGCGCGAGACGCGGCGGCGGTTGAGCTGGTGGGCGCGCGCTGGCTGCGTGCGGAGAGGCAGCCTAGGAGCAGCGAACGCTCGGGCGGCTCCCGCTGCTCTGCGGCTGATCAGGCAGAGGGGAAGCGGGCCCGGCCGGAGGAGGAGCAGGAGCCACAAAGGGGTGGGGGCTGCGCGCGCGGTGCACGCTGGGAGACATCCCTCCCCCTTCCCGGCCGGGGCAGGGGGACTTGGGTCTCAGGAGCGCTCGGTTGTTTCCGTGGTGACCCCCCTCCCCGGAATGCTTTGGAGGGCGGACGAGCGCATGGGGACTTAAAGGAGCCGTGCTGGGGAGCGGTGCACCCACAGGGCTGCGTCTCTGGGGGGGACAGGGAGCTGCAGCCTATGGATCCCCGCACGACAGGGCTTTGCGGGGCGGGGGCTGCACTCCCCACTCGGGACCCGGCTGCAGACGGCCGCCTCCAGCCCGTAGCCTGCAGCCCACGGAAATCAAGTAACATTCAAACTCTCCAACTGGGTGAGAATTCCCCTCTCTGTATCAAACCCGGAGTCTGAGCTGGGGGCGGGGAGGTTCGCACTCTGCGCACCCCTCTCCCCCGAGCTAGCGGCAGCTCTATGGGGGACTCCATGCTGCTGAAGAGCCTCCAGTACAGGGCTCTACAACTAACAGTCCGTCCTCTGCTCCTGCTTAGCACGGCACTCTCTGGTCTCAGGCTCCCCACCTCTCCCTCTCGGGCATTGGAACAGGCTGGCAGATCACACAAAATGCAAGACAATACTAGGAATTAAGGATCATACTTAGAATAACTAGGTCAAAAATTCTATGCCGTGTTGTTGTAGCTGTGTCTGTCCCAGAATAGTGGGGGGGGGGGGCTGTGAGGTTAAACCTTTTTATTGGACCAACTTCTGTTGGTGAGAGAGACATAGAATCACAGAACTGGAAGGGACCTCAAGAGGTCATCTAGTCCTGTCTCCTGCACTCCTGATAGGACTAAGTATTATCTAGACCATCCCTGACAGGTGTTTGTCTGACCTGCTCTTAAAAATCTCCAATGATGGAGATTCCACAACCTCTGTAGGCAATTTATTCCAGTGCTTAACCACTCTGACAGTTAGGAAGTTTTTCCTAATGTCCAACCTAAACAGCCCTTGCTGCAATTTAAGAACATTGCTTCTTGTCCTAGCCTCAAAGGTTAAGAAGAACAATTTTTCTCCCACCTCCTTGTAACAACCTTTTATGTACTTGAAAACTGTTATGTCCCCTCTCAGTCTTCTCTTCTCCAGACTAAACAAACCCAATTTTTTCAATCTTCCCTCATAGGTCATGTTTTCTAGCCCTTTAATCATTTTTTTTTGCTCTTCTCTGGACTTTCTCCAATTTGTCCACATCTTCCCTGAAATGTGGTGCCCAGAACTAGACAATACTCCAGTTGAGGCCTAGTCAGCGTGGAGTAGAGTGGAAGAATTACTTTTCGTGTCTTGCTTACAATACTCCTACTAATAAACATCATTCTGGGATGTGCTTTTTTTGCAACAGCGTTACACTGTTCACTCATATTTAGGTTGTGATCCACTAAAACTGCCAGATCCCTTTCCACAGTACTCCTTCCTAGGCAGTCATTTCCCATTTTGTATGTGTGCAACTGATTGTTCCTTCCTAAGTGGAGTACTTTGCATTTGTCCTTATTAAATTTCATCCTATTTACTTCAGATCATTTTGAATTTTAATCCTATCCTCCAAAGCACTTGCAACCCCTCCCAGTTTGGTATCATCCGCAAACTTTATACGTGTACTCTCTATGCCATATCTAAATCATTGATGAAGATATTGAAGAGAACCGGACCCAGAACCGATCCCTGCAGGACCCCATTCGTTATGCCCTTCCAGCATAACTCTGAACCACTGATAACTACTCTCTGGGAACGATTTTCCAACCACTTATGCACCCACCTTATAGTAGCTCCATCTAGGTTGTTTTTCCCTAGTTTGTTTATGAGAAGGTCACGCGAGACAGTATCAAAACCCTTACTAAAGTCAAGATATACCATATCTACCACTTCCCCCCAGCTACAAGGCGGGAAGCACCTTGTAGATAAGGGGGAAGCAGAAGGGAAGGGGGATTGCTTTTGAGCCATACAAAGCTCTTCCTCATGTCTGGGAAACGTACTCAGCGTGTCACAGCTAAATACACGATGAAGTTTAACAAAGACAATGCAAAGTGCTCCACTTAGGAAGGAAAAATCAGTTTCACACATACAGAATGGGAAGAGACTGTCTAGGAAGGAGTACGGCAGAAAGGGATCTAGGGGTTATAGTGGACCACAAGCTAAATATGAGTCAACAGTGTGATGCTGTTGCAAAAAAAGCAAACATGATTCTGGGATGCATTAACAGCTGTGTTGTGAGCAAGACACAAAAAGTCATTCTTCCGCTCTACTCTGCGCTGGTTAGGCCTCAACTGGAGTATTGTGTCCAGTTCTGGGCACCGCATTTCAAGAAAGATGTGGAGAAATTGGAGAGGGTCCAGAGAAGAGCAACAAGAATGATTAAAGGTCTTGAGAACATGACCTATGAAGGAAGGCTGAAAGAATTGGGTTTGTTTAGTTTGGAAAAGAGAAGACTGAGAGGGGACATGATAGCAGTTTTCAGGTATCTAAAAGGGTGTCATAAGGAGGAGGGAGAAAACTTGTTCACCTTAGCCTCTAAGGATAGAACAAGAAGCAATGGGCTTAAACTGCAGCAAGGGAGGTTTAGATTGGACATTAGGAAAAAGTTCCTAACTGTCAGGGTGGTTAAACACTGGAATAAATTGCCTAGGGAGGTTGTGGAATCTCCATCTCTGGAGATATTTAAGAGTAGGTTAGATAAATGTCTATCAGGGATGGTCTAGACAGTATTTGGTCCTGCCATGAGGGCAGGGGACTGGACTCGATGACCTCTCGTGGTCCCTTCCAGTCCTAGAATCTATGAATCTATGAATTAAGATGAATCAAAAATGAGAATTCTACCAAGCCACCTAGCTATCTAGAGGAGGTAGCCAGTTACTAAAAAAGGAGTCAAAAAGTAAATCAGACACTGAGTACAAGTTGCAAGTAGGTATCAGTACCTAAATAAAATATCAAAGAAGCTGGTCTCTCCAAAGGAGAGTCTCAAATGCTAAAGTCATATGTAAAAGAATGAATTTAAAAGGGCAGTCAGCAAGACACATAATAGAGTCACATAGGAAAAACTCAGATGACCAAAGCTGCACAATATACCACTTCCAGACAGTCTCTTCCGTGGTTCTAAATATTCAACAATTTTCTAGCCCCAAGAAATACACTTTTTCTATATATTTTTCTATGGTTTGCACTATAATTTGTTAAATATATTACAGTATTTCCCTTGCCTCATTCTGCAGCCTCAAGAATTTGTGGGAACATAGGGCCAAAATCAAATCTCATGGAAATTAGTGCAACTCCATTGACTTTGGGGCAGTTGCACCTGCTTACATTAGGTCTGAATTTGGCTCTGAGTAGTATTTGTTGGACAAGATTAGAGCACTATTTCTTAGCCTGGCTACCCCATCTAACCTCTGCTCTCCTCACAAATAAAATTTTGGTTGTCCAATACCCTGGTACCATTCAGTAAAATACAGCCACTCCTGCAGGGAGAAATCCTCTCACTGAGTGAGGTGCAAGTGGAGTTTCAAGCAACATGTAAGGAGGGAATTTAATACAACTTTAATAAGTCATACAAGTCAGGGTGAGTTCAGGCCACCAGAAGCTAGAAGGCTTTAGCTGCTTTAAAATGCATTTGAGGTATTTCCTGTCATTAAGATTCTTTGCACTTTAGTCTTTTTTGGGGGCTCAGGGAGGGGAGGAAATAAGGGAGGAAGTGGAGATGCTGGGAATGGAATACATTTTTCCCTTGGGTACATAAAACTAACTGTAAAATTTAGCCAAATTGACTGTTTACTTTAAGTTCTCTGTAGCTTCCCTTTAAAATTCTCTCATTATCTACATTCCAACATCCTACTGAATCATAGATTATTAGTGTCCCTATTTCAGAGTGGTAGCTGTGTTAGTCTGTATTTTCCACTGCATGCATCTGATGAAGTGGGTTTTAGCCCACGAAAGTTTATGCCCAAATAAATTTGTTAATCTCTAAGGTGCCACAAGTACTCCTCATTCTTTTTAGTGTCCCTATGACTTATCTTGTAGCCTCTGGGCCAGAATATCCTGAAGTTTCAGATTAGGATTTAGCAGCTAAGGTTACTAGGAGAGTGGAAGGAATAACAGGAATACGTGGGTCATTTTCAGTATTTACCCATTGGCTTCATTAACCAAGAAGCAAAGTTTTATACTTTTTTTTATAATAGTATTAATTTCTTTAAAATTTTACTAGTTGTCTTACAAAAGCCAATGTAAAAAAATCTACTTGTGATTGTAATTTTGTATGATTAGGTGTTTAACATTTCTATATCTCCCTCTAGTAGTGCAGTTTGTAAAAATTTGTAAGGAATTATTTTAAAGGCTATTAACATCAAGAAACGTAAAGTTTGTCAAGATTTTTAAGTCAGTTACTAGTTGCCAATGAGACTTAACCCTAAAAAATCTGAAAGCATACCAGAGGTTTTTTTTAACTAATGGGGATTGGGAGTGAGAATCACAGTCAGCCTTATAATGGAACTCCAGTTGCAACTATAACTACTGCTTCTGCATAATGAATCCTTACCTTACTTTTGTGAGGTAGATAAGTATGATCCTCATTTTACATATTGGCAAAACTTAAGCAGAGAAAAGATAAGGGACTTACTCAAAGCCACAGGGTAAGTCAAACAGAACAAGTAAAGAAAACACTCTAAATGATCATAAAGAATGGCAGAATTATATGTCTGTTTATCAGATTGGTGTATTCCCCTCCTTTTTTTTTAAATTCCTAATAAACTCATCCTCCTGGACATTATCCTGTCTGAACCCAGATCTCTGTAGTGCTTGGAGGCATCAGCTCTGCCAGACATGACTAAGGCTGGGTTCTGATTTATTGCTACTAACAATGAGACAGCTATCACTATGGGATCTCCCTGCAACTTTTCAGATTCAGGAATGCAGACAAACCTATGTTTGCTCTTGTGTAA